ACGAGAATGTAGGACTCTTTGTCACGTTCCTGAGCCAAGAGAGCGAGAGCACAGAACAATAGAGAGGCAAGATCGTCCTTACCATGAAGTCGGTAAATCGACAGACATTTTTTTTAATGAAAATGTTTATGGAAATTAGAAAAACGAGAAAACCAGTACATTATAAAGAAAGCAATATTTTTTTAACAGATTATCAATACTATTTTAGTATCTCTTCGACCCTAAGATATACAATATTTACGATCGACATTACCCTTCCCTACGCCAGTGTACGGACAAGTTTTACGTCCCTCTGTAAAATATCACGACCTCTACTCTGAAACAATTTCACACATCATAATTTTGCGATATGATAACATTTTGAGGTTAGTAGACATTGTTAAACGAAGATCGTTTTTGGATCTTTTTATGTGGTTGATTTTTTATAACTGGACTTATGTAAAATCAAAAAATATTAAAAAAAAATGAAAAACTATAGGCCATAAACATTAATCCCTTTTATGTAAGAAATATTCGTAGTAACTATATTAAAAAAAAAAACGAAATTCTCAGTATTTTCTTTTAATTAATTAAATTTTCTTCCGTATTGACATTATGACAAGCGTACAATTCCTAAGGGAAATTAATTTTCTAACACAATTGCTTTATATTGAACAATATAATCCGATTTGTTTTAATACCCTTGTTATGAATTTCTTATTAAAATTATATTACTCTATGGTATGTGGTTTTATATAAAAATACTTTGGAAAAAGATTAAAAATCTTTTCAGTTCAGTTTTAACCTTACCTAACTCGAATAACGTAAAATAATTAAAACGATTATTATCAACAAAGTGTATGGAATCTTGGGCAAGGGCATATCACTGCTTTCATCGATATTTTTGTTTTTTTTTTCTTTTTAAGGCTACGGAAAAAAATTGCGTAGTTATAGTTTTTTGTTTTAATCTGCGAAGTATCAAGAACGAACTTTATTTTTTTATTCGAATTAAAGGTTGATGCGTCACTAAACGTCATTTTCGACCAGTGTTTATTTACAAATTCAGATTTTTTTCTCGTGAATTTTTTGACAAACAAAAGAAGCAGTTATAAAAGCCAGATACTGGGCAATTAGTAAAACATAAACCAGAACAATTTATCCTCGTCTCTTTTAATTCTGTAATTGTTAGTAAATAATTTTATTTTATTTATTTACTTTAATCGCAGTTGAAAAAATGTGAATTCCATCCTTACAATACAATGAGTAACGTGACCGTGACTGCCCTTACCAATTATTTAATGTAAGGAAGCCATCTATTGACTATATTAGAAAACACAAAAACATTCATTGTCACTTCACCATAATGGGAATGCCACTAAGGGGCTCGGAGCCTAACCTTAGTTAGGGATGACTACGTCATGATCAACCACGCTGCATTGCGGGTTTACTTCACACATATCTTTAATTTTTTTCGCCGATGCGATGCGGGGACCGAAACCGGACTTATGATTATGGTCAAGGGCTAAAATGTGGAAACCACGTAAAAGTAACACAAAAATAGTTGTTACAAATAACTGCCAACTGCACCTAATTAGAGGCGCGCGGGTAAAACCTAAAGCCGCTTAATATTTTTGGCGTTCATTAGTAGACTTTACAAGTGTAAAAGTAAGTACTTTGCAGTTTTTAGTCTCATACAAAATCTAGTCAGCGAGACTGTTTAATAAAGTCCTAAAAGAATTTAACCTAAACTTGTTTGATATTAACATTTTTAATAAAGAGACATCAGTAAACTCGGCTCGCACGTTTCTCAGCAATAAATCTGTCGGAGGTTATGAAGTGCAGAGAACATAAAAGTGCGCTGTATGTCGCTGTACTAAATCTTCTTCAAACAGATAATAGACTGTGATAAAAGTGTTACATTTTTGTTTTGATGTAACATAACCTAAAAATATTTCTTTGACAGATGGGAAGTTAGGAACACACGAAGGTACAAATAAATATGCGCTTTGTTCACATGTTTGAAGGAACCAAAAATAAATTTTTATCGCATATATTTAGTTTATTTCCTCTAGCTAAGCTTCTGTAAGTAAATATTTATCTTATTATTCTTCCTTTATTTCTCTATACATATTAGTAATCAGAAATTATCTGAATAATATCTAACATAACCTATAAGCTTCATCTGTCATTGTAGGAAATATTAAAGTTCAGTGTGACCCTATTATCTCCGTAATAGAGTGCTCAAGTTCGCCACCCATAAAACTGACCGCAGTTATTAAAATCTACTCTTTATTAAATTTATTTTAGGATATTTTTACTAATAAATACTACATTTCGAGTGTTTATTAATTTATTTTTTTAATCTATTTAAGATATAGATTAAAAATTTTATGAGTAACTATGTATTAAATTGTAAAATGTTAGCCAAACCACGAACATGGAGACCGTAAAACTTTTATATTATGAGTTTAAAAGAGATTGTTCGTTAAAATAATAAAAACTAAATTAAAATATAAGCTTATATTTTACACGTAAATTGCTAGCAATTACGAAGCGATCACGCTGTGATAGACAATTAATAGCTCCGGACAAATAACTAGTTTAGCTAGCGCTTCGCCACACCACTAGCATACTTCATAATGAACACTAGCTTTTGCTCGCGACTTTGTCGGAGTGAAATTAAGACATAAACTGTGTTACTCAAAATTATTTCAATACATACAAAAATACAAATCTTTCCCCTTTATAACATTAGTATAGATTAAAAAATAGTAAAAAAAAAACCTTTCTAACGGTGCGACTTTTTAAAATTGGCCCAGTAGTTTTTGAGTTATTTCAATACATACAAGAATACAAATCTTTGCTCTTTATTATATTAGATACATAGTATAGAAGTATAGATTTACACCTCACGACTTTGCAACGTCATTATATTTAAATACGCATATGTAAGGAAAACATTCTGTTTAATATACGTTCCTGTTGATTAAAGGTAGGCAACGCATCTGCAAATGAGGACGCTTGTAAAGCAGTCGCTATTTTGCCGAACTCCGGAGGCTTTAGCTCGATTGTCACCTTATACTATAAAAAAATATATACCTTCCGACTGGTTTCAATTAATATAACTATACTATTTTAGTTTTCATATCTTACGGACGAAAATAAAAAAGTACCCTATAGCATTGGCTTTTGTAGACGAAAGTTTAAAAAAAATGTTTTTTCATATCAGCAACGCCTATACTAAGCTCACCAAATTTTTTTTCAATATGACTTAGACGCACCAAATCAAAATTTGAAATAGTTAAAGTTCATAACAGCGCCATCTAGACTTGGTAGTGAGCACTACCTACAAAACTATCTTGTTATTGCATTATGTATAAGGAACATGCATATTTAAATAAAAACTACCAAAATTTATCTTATTCATGTATTACTAAATAATAACACAACACCGAAATATGCTAAACACAAATATTGAATAATTAAAAGAATAAATCATTTTTAACATATTCTAAAGTAAATAATAAGGTATTTATTTGTTAAATAAATTAATTATTCTTAGCAATGATTTACATTACTTGATGTTTACGTAGAATAATTTTACTTATCCACTTAATGATAATTTAATATTACCCTTTAAGGGCCTGTCCCACCGCGGGCTGATAGCAGATCAGATAGGTTAAAAATGCCATTACTGTCATAAGGTAACAAAATCCGATATTTCCATTACATATTTTACACATCGGATTTTTATCAATTTACAATTTGGTGGAACAGGCCCTAAATGTCACTATTATAATGTTAATAAATTTACTAATAAACATGTACCATCCCATATATAAAGGTCCAGAACAAAACATATGTAAATAAAGCACCGAAAAATCCGTTTGTCAGTAAACTCTGTCTTGATACATAATATTTACTCCATTCGGAACCAGCTTTGATCATAAACATCATCCATAAAATGATTACCGCAAATACATAAAATGCAAATCCATACAATCCTGTAAGACCAAGAACACCTGAAAAACAAGAGCATTATTATAATAAAACATCTAAAACTACAGCATTAGAGTAGCACTGGATAGTAAAGCCAAATTCAGGCCACTTAGAAAGTCGCTTTCAAAACAAAATATAGTAGTATAGTAGTAGTCAATTTATCGTGACAAAGACTCTGGATGAAGTTTTATCACCTCAATGTTGTGCTTTGGATCTATATGTTAAATATACGGATGTTTTGGTATGATCAGTCTAGTGTGTTTCTTGTCTATTCTACAGTTTTACTCCAAGACAGATATCTGATTTGGGTTTACTACCCAAAAACTCATCTCTAAAGTATAAAATAATCGTTTTTAGTGAATTTTATGAAAAATATTATATGCTTGTCATATTTAAGTTACAATTGAAGTATAAAACAAAGTTTTTACCAGCAGTGGAACCCGATAACGCAGCCATAGATGTTCTACAATACTCGACGACTGCTGCATTATTTCTGAGTGCCGCATCGCTATATACTATCGGCCCTGGTTTATTGTCCTTTGATTTAACAATCCCCGACATTTTTATTACTAAATTGTTTAATTTGTAAACTAAAAGCAATGTTCCTTTGCTCGCTTTATCGACAACTGACAGCTGTCAGGGACAGTGACAATCACAGATAAAATTGGTGATCACCACTTTTAAAATATTAGAACAGATAAACTATATTTGGAATCTACTCTTCCAAGGTTGTTTATTTTATTGTAAAGGTAGTTAAACCGTGTTTAATGTCTCCTTTTCTAAAAGTCATAATCTTGTTACTGCATAAACTCAAAATTTAGTCTAAAAATAACACAAACGGGCGTTTTTATATGACATACAATAGTAAACATCGCGCTATAACCTCTAGTGCATAATTTAGAAGCCCATAGAGCCGATGAACTACCAATACATCTCGTTTAAATGCCATTGTATATACATTTTTCATATACTGTTCTTTTTGCATAAGTAACTCACACATTCATACAAGATTTGAGTTTGACACACTCACACATTGATAACATTCTGTGGTAATTTTTCGCGGCATCAAGCGTCGGTGAACTTATTTTGTATTCAATTATATTAATCAAGTTTAATATTCTACTATTTTATGTGTTAACATTAATGCTTAGAAAAAAAGCCGCCAAAAATAAGTTAAACAGGATAGTTTGTGTAAGTTTTTCGTCATTTTCTTGATTATAAAAATATCATGGCGCGTGGATGACACTTACAGAGGGTTCCTATTCGGAACAAAATAGGACTTTGCTCAAAACATAATTTAACGTTGGAGATTTTGTGAAATGTTTGGGATCCTGTGTGTAGTAAGCATTTTGAAATTGCAACTTTTAAGTTTATACGCGTTGAAACAAATTTGTTAAAATAAAAATTAAGTTTCCGATTCGAGACTTGGTGCTAAATTACTTTTGCCCACCCGTTTGGTTCGTGTGCAACCATTATGTTCGGAGGACATTGTAATACCACAACGTCATGGTAACTAACGTATCTAAAATGAATTGGCATAAAAACTCTCTAAAGTTTATTAAAACGGTTCATTTTTTGTGAATAATTCAATAACCTAGCTGACACTGAGTATAACTTCATTTCGTTTCTTTTGTTTCAGCCGAAGGTTGTAGAAAATTTCTACATTACTCTATTTAATTCGCCTACTTTGGTTTTATTTTTACTATTCTCATGTTGACATTTATTTGCAATTGAAAATTTACATCGAAATTTTTATCGACGATTTTGTTGAATGAAATTACGTCAGTGTCCTAATTTAAATTCTAAATGACTTGTAACCGCCGACAATGGACGAATCAGAGGATAATTTGAGTGCTGAGGATATAAAATATGTTGACAGTACAAGTTTTGTTAAAAACAAATCTAAAAAGAAGTCACTTGTTGAGAGAGAATTGGAAACAAGTTTGACAGCCAGAGTGACTTCTCCTATAACAAATTGGGAGAGTAGTACCAGCCGCTATGGGAGAGCTCGTAGGCTTAAATCGGAGATAGACTCCAGTGATTCAGAGAGATCAGTTACAAAAAGTATAAAATCACCGAAGATTGACAGATCACCAGTTCAAATACAATCACCTGTATATAAAATGCATGCATCAAATTCACCAATAAGTATGGAAAGTTTAAAGCAAACAGAAAATAAACTTGAAACACAAATTGAGAATATTTACAATGAAAATATATCATTAAGTCGTTTTGGTACAGATGAGAAAAAAATTCTATCACCCGCTAAAAAGTTTCCTAAAGTATACATAAGACAGGATTTGATTCAAAGTAAGGAGAAGGATAAAGAGGAGACAATAACATTAATAAAAACACTTTTTTCCCCTGTTAAAATAAATAAACCATCAACACATATAGGTGTTTTAGAAAGGTCTTCAGAGAAATATAGCTTAGGTACAAAACACCTTGATACATCATCTGTGGTAAAAACATTAGATTTTGATGCCAAGAAAAAGAAAAAAGAAATCATAGATAATAAAATGACTTTATCAAAGAGTGAGATATTTGACATGGAGGCTAAATGTGAATATCAAGTGGGAGATTTGGCATGGGCTAGAATGGGCACATATCCATTCTGGCCTTGCATTATCACTAGAGATCCTGGCAGTGGGACATTTGTAAAGAAAAAATGTAAGTAATTAACTCACAATTATTAGCTCACTATACATCATCACTGAGCTGCTCGGAATCTTACCTAAGATAATGGTGACTAGGCCATAGTCAGCCTCTCAAGCCCACTGCGGGTTGATTTCACACATATCTTTGAATTTCTTCACAGCTACATGCAGGTTGCATCACTATGCTTTCGTCAAATGCCATTTTGATTAACTATTATTTGTATTTTTTTTTTAATTTCACATATATATACAATATAAGTTCGGAAAATTTCAACTTTAACACCAGACTATACAATTGCAAGGTACAACTTAGTATATTGCCAAATACTCATGAAATTCTATAAAGCCAATATCTTGTGTAATTGATTTTTACTTTTTTTACAAGCTGCTTGTGAGTCAGGACATCCATATGATTGTAAGTTATAATAACTAATATAAATGCGAAAGTTTAGATGAATGGATGTTTGTTAGTTTGTAGCCTAAACAGCTCAACAAATCTTGATAAAATTTTGTAAAGGTGTGCCAGCTCGTTTCTTACGATCTACTAGCAGCACTATGGGATTGATATGTCTTTCCCAAGACAAAAATCCCCCTTTACCTAACTAAGATTTAAAAAAAAAAGTGTAGAGGACCATCTGGAAGGGAACATAGGCTACTCACACTACTCTGAGCGAACAAAGTTGCGGACAAAAGTTACTTTACAATAAATGAAATTGTCAGCCTCTGCCTGTTTTGTCATGTCCATTGAATCCAACTATAATTCCATTAGTTTCTTTTGGCCACAGTTTATAAAACATTGCTTATATATTTGGCTGTGGAATCTAAAAATAAACCTATTTACAATGACTTCATATAATTTTATGTACTGTAAATTTTATGTAAACATTTGATAATGTGGAATGTTTGAAAAATGTAGGTAACATTAAATTAAACCTTATCTTATATTTATAGTAATATCTCAACTAAAACATGGTCTCTAAATTATGCAATAATTTTATGATTGCTGTTGCTCGCGACTTCGCCTGCGTGAAATTAAAAAAACAATAAAAAAGATAGCCTATGTTACTCACAGATATATTACCTTTCTAACAGTGAAAGGGTTTTTTAAATCTGCCCTATCGTTTTTACGTGAATTGAATACAAAAATACAAATCATTCTTCTTACTGATTACAACTTGTTTATATAGATTTCGAATACTAAATGTATTTTGTTATCAAATCATTTATATCTTGTCTGAGAGGTTCGTAGTCTACCCTATGTTAGGGGTGCTAGGCTATAGTCAATCATTGCATTGAGTGTTGACTTCACATATCTTTAAAATTCATTGCAGATATGTACAGATTTAAAATAAAAAGTAACACTGCAATGATTAAATGAGGGTTGTGCTTTACCTAATTGATAATGTAAATTTAAAACTAAAATAAAAAAAAAACATTTTTTTTCGCAGTATTGGGACGATCTGAACGTGATATCTTGCATGTCACATTCCTGGGTGACAATGGTCGACGTGGATGGATAATGCACAACATGCTACGGAAGTTTTTAGGACAACTAGAGTTTGAAACTGCTAGAGAAAACTTTACATCAGAGGTAAGAATGATTTATTAATTCTAATAGTGTAATTTGTTTCATGAAATAAATAATATATATGAACTATTCATTTGTTAATTGATTTAAAATTTGCAGGAAAAGAAACGGGATCCAAGGTTGTATGCAGCCTTCTTTATATCAGAGAAGAAACAATCTCAATGGGCAATATCAGTTGAAGAAGGGGAAACTTTACTACGTGAACCAAAAAGGCTAAGAATAGATTTATTACGTGATATGCTAGGAAATGTCAAGTCTAAAACAGCAAAAATAGAAAAAAGGATAACAAGAACTAACAGTGATGTTTCATTAAGTGAGAGCTTATATGATACTTTATTTTCTGAAGATGATACAAAAACGAATGATAATGAACGTTCTAAAAGCAAAACAAGAAATAAATCTTTAGATGTATCAGAAGTTGTGACAGCTTGTTTAGATAATATGGCTGCAAAAACTGGTATAACTAAAATACAAAAACAATCACATATGGATAGATGGTTACAAAAAGCTAAATCAAAAACGCCAGAGAAATCTTATCATAAATCGCAAAGTAAAACAGACAAAGATAGCAAATCTAATAGCAAACAAAAAACCAATGAACACTGTCCAAGAAGATCTCTCAGTCTTAGAAGATCTTTAAAAGAATCTCATGATATAATTGAAGTTAAATTATTATCACATCAAAATGAACATGATTATAGTAAAAAGATTTGTGAAGAATTTACTAACCCTGTTAATGATAAAGGAAACAATATAAAAAAAGAAGCAAATGAACACCAAGGAATCGCATTAAATGAATCCCAAAATGTAACATTATCAGAAAATATTACTGATTCAATAAAAAATCAAGACGATTTTGAGGATAATTTAGTAAAAAATCAATTAATTCAATCGGAAAACGATTCGATTCCAACTAGACTAAATGACTTTGAATTAACGCAAATAGATTTAAATGGTGAAGTACAAGATAAAAAAATAAATAAGGAAACATTGCCAGAATGCATAGATAAAGTTTTTTTTAATGGATGTGAAGATGTCACATGTGTTTTAGAAAATAAAGAATCTGTAGATATAGAAAATAATGATAATAAAATAATAGAATCGGAGTCTAATTTTGAAGACGAACGTATTGTTAGTGTATCTAATATAGAAAATATACAAAGTAACGGAAGTATAGAAATTGATGAATTTGAGAAAAATCATGTTGAAATAAAGAAAATAGACAGTGATAAGTCAAAGAGTGTATTTAATAAAAATCTATGTGATTCCAATGAAAGAGATTCAAAAGTTATGCATTTAACAAAAAATCGTGAACATTTTGAAGATTTAACGAAATCACATAATGATTTATCAAACGAAAAAATAAGTGAATTCGTTAATACAGAAATGGATGGAGAAAATTTAAATAAGCCAGAGAAATGTAAAAATCTAGACCACTTTCAGGCAGAGAATGATAGATCTATAAATATGCCAGATAAGAATTTATGTAATATCAATGACATAGAAATGAATGAAGAAATTATAGCTGTGCCAGATAATAGTGAAAATCATGATTTAATTCAGACAGAGATTGAGAAATCAAAAAGTGTAGTAGACGAGAATTTATACGAATCAAATGACATAGAAATGTTAGAGAATTGTGAAAATCAAGATTTTAATACAATCAGTACTTGTACAACTGTTTGCGAATCAATAGAATTGACCAAAACAAAGAGATTAAGAGATTTTAAGAATAAACAGACATCAGAATCACAAGAAAGTGAGGAATTTAGTGAAAGCAAATCTTTAAAAGATGAACAAACAGAAAATCAAGTTTCACTAGAGAATATTGATAAATTCAATAATGTTAATGTGAAATCAATTAAACGTAATGATAGTGATGTCCCAAATTCTTTTTCAAGTGGCTACTCTAGTTCGATTCCTGACGAAAATGACGATGAAAATGTACATATTTATGTTAAGGAAATTTCTTCAAATGTAAATGAAAATGGTGAAAACGATTCTACCTTGACTGAAGAAAAAATGTCAAACTGTAAAATGACAAATTTACCTGAAGTTGTAAGAGAGATTGACGTTTTAAATGAAGTAAATAATATAACTGAAAGTAAAGAAGTTGGTGAACTACACAATGTTTGTGAAGATACAGAACTTAATGTGAATGACAATTCAGATCAAAAACATACTAAAGAAGAAAATAATGCCATAGAAGTTTTTAGTAAAGAAACAAGCAATTCGGAAAATCGGTCATCCAAAAGTTCTAATTCAGACGTAGTATCAATAAATTCTGAAAATGCAGAAGACTCAAGTTCAAATACTCCTTATTCTGAGTTGGATAAAGATACGAAAACAGAAGAGAACGAACCAAATATAGAAGAATCACAAAAAAACAATTGGAAAGTAAAAAAGGTTATTGACAGTAATAAAACATTAAGAATGACATTAGACAGGACTGAAAAGAAAACGACTAAATCATCCAAAAATGAACTAGATGATCCTGAATTTTTGAAATACTTAGAATTTAGACAGGACGCATTAATAGATGAACATCCTGAACTAACACAAGACGAAATAACACAATATTTGTACAAAACTTGGCAATATGAGGAAAATTCTAAATCCGAAAGTAAAAAAACAGACGAAATGGAACAAGCAAATTTAGTTAAAGGCCTTCAAAAAGATAAATCACAGCCAAAGAAAGTGAAAAAGAAAGTCAAAGTAGATAAGGAAACGAATGACGAGGATTTTGTACCTAAATCTAAATCAAAACGAAGAATTGCAAGACCATATTATAACGAAGATTATAATGATGATTCAGATTTAGACATGGAAGATGAAATACAATTATTTGAGATTTTCAAATCTAAGGGAAACAGAGATTTTAAAGACAAAAACCTTGAAAATACAACTTCACTTGATCCAAACGGAAGTATAGAAGAATCTCGTGACGACGCAAACTTTTTAAACGACGATGACTTTGATCAAGTCGAAGAGTATTTCAAACAACTTACTGAACCAAAGCCTAATATATTTAAAGGTCTTTTAAGAGAAAAAGTTTGTGAAATTTGCGAGAAATCTGGAAATCTAGTTAAATGTAAGGGATGTCATTGTATGTTCCATGTTGCATGTACTAAGAAAGAAGCCGAAGTTATTGATAAACAGCTACCTACTAGAGGTAGAAAGAAGAAGAAGAGAAACAGAGGTAGAAAGCAGAAAGGTTTAGATGATTCTAACGGCTTAGACGGAGATAGTCAGAGTGATGAGAAGTCCCACGAATTGAATTCCGAAGAAAGTTTATCAATAGAAGATCTAGAATCTCATATAATCGTAGACGCAAATAACTTCGAAACGCAATTAAGTGATAAAATGAAAGAAATGTTCAACACACAAAACGAATATTACTCAGATTCAAGTGAAAACGAACTCGATTGGAGCGACATAGAAGTAGGGAAGTGTAAAATAATCGATATCAAATTGCCTACTAAAAATCGGAATTCAGATATCGATTATTCGGATTTCAAATGCAATAATTGCTTACAATACGACAAACCTATTTGTTTCGTGTGTAGGGCTGACACTTCACCGAAAGAGGGTGTTAAATTTAGACAGAGGTGTCAATTGGCGCATTGTAATAGACACTATCATTTGGAGTGTTTGGAACATTGGCCGCAAACACAGTATCATTCTGGGGAAGTGCTTAGAAATAATAAAAATATTAAAGGGTTTTTCGAGCCTGTTGTTTGTCCCCGACATGTGTGTCATACGTGTGTGAGTGATGACCCTAGAGGTTGTAAAACAAGATTCAGTGGCGATAAACTAGCGCGTTGTGTAAGATGTCCAGCGACATACCATTCCTTCACGAAATGTCTTCCAGCTGGTACTCAAATATTGTCAGCGTCACATATTATCTGTCCACGACATTATGAGAACAGGTGAGTTATAAAACTGTACTTACTTTTGCCCGCGACTCTGTCCGCGTGGAATAAATAAAACAAAAGTGAGTAGCCTATGTGTTCTTCCAGACTATCCTCTACATTCATACCAAATTTCATCGAAATCCATTTGACTGTTTAAGCTACAAACTGACAAACAACCATCCATCCATCTAAACTTTCGCATTTATAATATTAGTATGATTAAGTTAGTTGAATGTCATTACAATGTTGCCATAAAGAAGGCTTTTTCTTTTAAAACTCCTAATATGTTACAAAAACATCGATTGTTCGTAACTATTTTACGATTCTCATATATAAAGTCCATATCGATTCATACACCTTAATCAATGTTTATAAGAAGGTTAGACTATAAGAGTGCGCGTACCTTTGACCAAACTATAGAACAACTGTTTAGTCGCGCTGATTTTTATGAACTCATATAGAGGTACGCACACTACTCGATTTTTAGTTGTGCAACTAAACAGTTTAAGCAGCACAACTATCGACACACATAACAGTTGTGCGATAGTTTATTCAAATGTATGCCCCCGTTTTAATGCTAAAATTGATATATTTTAGGCCGGGTAAAGTACCATGTCATGTGAATACCGGTTGGTGTTTCATCTGTGCGTTGGGAGGTTCCCTGATCTGCTGCGAGTACTGTCCTACATCCTTTCATGCTGAGTGCCTTAATATCAAACCACCTGAAGGTGAGAAACACAATTATATTAAACACTAGCTTGTGCCCGCGACTTTAATTATTAAAACTTGATTCTTTCACACTATTGGTTAGTAGTTTTCGTTCCTTTCTCGCAGAGCATTTTTTCCCATTTAGTCAATTCCTAAGTTTAATAGCTTAAAATATAGCCTATAGGTGTCATAGGTGTAGTGGTTTTTATTAAAAAAAGAATTAATAAACTAGCTTTCGCCCGCGACTCCGTCCGCTTGGAATTAAAAAAAAGCTAAGCAGCCTATGTGTTCTAGATCATACTCTACATCCATGCCAAATTTCATCGAGATACGTTCAGCCGTTTAGGCTACAAACTAACAAACATCCATCTAAACTTTCGCATTTATAATATTAGTAAGATAATAGGTATATGTATATTTTCCAGGTGGCTACATGTGTGAGGACTGTGAGACAGGTTGTTTACCCTTGTATGGAGAAATGGTGTGGGTCAAACTGGGACATTATAGGTAAGTTATATATTTTTTCTTCTGTACATCTCATTAAGGACTCTCTCTCTCTCTTTCTCTCTCTCTTATCTGACCTTCACACATATCTTTGAATTTCTTCTGTGATATGTGCAAATATGTTTTCCTTCAAACTAAGAAAATCGGGTAAAGGTTCATATGGAATTTTAAAATAAAAAATCATATTAGTACAGCGGGATTCGAACCCAAGATCTGTATTACAAGTCAAGTATTTAAATCTCTGATCTAACATTCTAATCTATTTTTTCATTATTATTTTTTCCATATTCTTAATGCTCTTTAAATTTTAAATTTGGTGCCGGAATGCCTAAGTAAACTCCACTTTCCTTCCCACCCTTTTTCTTATAAGAAAAGGATGAGAAGGGAACGTGGATTTGTGGTGGAGGAGACGCATAGGAAAGGGAAATTACTTTATGTCCGTCTCCTTCGTTGATTAAGAGTAGGCAATGCATCCGCTATTGCGAATGTCTATGGGCAGCGGTCGCTTCGCCATTTCGGCGAATTCAGTTGACAGCTCCTACTTTATGAGGTAAAAAAAAATGTTAATTGTATACAGATGGTGGCCAGGAATAATACTGCACCCTTCAGAGATTCCCCCCAACATCCTAGCGGTGAAACATTCCCCCGGGGAGTTTGTGGTTCGCTTCTTTGGCCAGTATGACCACTACTGGGTCAACAGGGGACGAGTTTTCCCCTTCCAAGAAGGTAAATCTTATTTTATTATTTCAAATTAACCAGAATATCATATTATAAATGTGAAAGTTTAGATGGATGGATGTTTGTTAGAGTTTGTAGCCTAAACGGCTGAACGGATTTCGATGAAATTTGGTATAGATGTAGAGGATAGCCTGTAAGAACACTTAGGCTACCCACTTTTTTTTTAATTCCACGCAAACGGAGTTGCGTGCGAAAGCTAGTGTCTAATAAATGGCAAACTTCAATTTTAAATAGTCTGTTATGTATAATTTTAGATAATCTATACTAATAAAGAGGAAATGTTTGTATTTCTGTGTGGGAAATAACTCAATAACTACTTCTCCGATTTCCAAAATTCTTTTACCATTAAAAAGATATGTTATCAGCGAGTAACATGTTTTATATTATAAAGCGCCTATAGCCTAATGGTTTGGGGTACGGACTACCGATCTTGCGGTCGAGGGTTCGAACCCTCATTCGACTTTTGTGAACCATATCCTAGCACAAGCCTAGACCTTAGTTGGAATAGTTAAAGGAAATATTAGTAAATTAACAAAATCTACTAATTTCATTTATAAAAAAATTCACGCGGACGAAGTCGCGGGCAACAGCTAGTACTTAATATTCTAATATCGGAAGATGATTTATCACTACGCATCTCTCTGTAATTCTGAAATAACACATAGACTACTTTTGCTTATTTAATTCCGTGAACAAAGTCGCGAAAAACAGTAGTTTTCAGTAAATAAAGTGATTTTTTTCTCTATTTTCAGGTGACACGGGAAAAGTATCAAATCAGAAGTCCAAAATTGACGCGGCTTTCAATATGGCGATGGAGCACGCGCAGAGAGCCTGCGAAATATTGAAAAGTGAGTATTTAAAAAAAAATAGTAGTAAAAATAAGTCATGTCATTGTGACATTTGCAGTTGACAATTTGACACATGTAAACAATAAGATAATTTTATGCTGAGGAAATCGCACGGGAACAGCTAGTATATAACTCAAAAATTATTGGGCCAATTTTAAAAATTCCTCCACCGTTCGAAAGGTAATTTATCTCTGTGTAACATAGGGGCCGTCCATAAATTACGTCATCGATTTTTTCAGACTTTAGACCTCCCCCCTCTACAATCCTATCGTCATTTCTTAATGACCCCCCCCCTCTCCCAAAATTGACGTCATAAACAGTTTGACGAAATTAAAACATTGCAGATTTGAGAAAAATATGATTAAAATACTTGATTATAGAATCACCTTTATTATTTTTACTTGTATATTATGAGTTATTTTAGTATTGTACGCGCCTTAGCCGCCTCTCACATTTGCAGTCTCACTTACTAGGTGTGCTGGAAGAAATTTCTTTTTAGAAATAATCTTTGTACGTGAACAATAAACTATAAATAAATAACAATGACGTCAATTTCGAAACACTCCCCTTCTATCTATCATTTACCGTCATCCGCAGACCAACCCCCCCTAATTTAGAATGACGTCATATATGGACGGCCCCATAGGGTGAATTTTTTTAACGAAGTAAGGGCCCGAGCCCAGGCTCCTGAGGGAGCCCTCGAGCCTAGTTACTCATAAACGAGGTTTAGGCTAAGCGCCATCTGCGCTCGGCCACCTCAAGCCCGGTGAATCTGTAAATGCCTCTTCAAGGCAAACAGTGACACACTATTTAAAAAAAAGGGTGAATTTTTTAAATTTTTCCCTACTAGTTTTTTTTATATTAATTATGTAGATGTGTCCCCGAGCGAGGAGGAGCCGCCGGAGTTCGTGTCGTCCCTGCTGCCGCCGCACTACGTGAAGCTGCGCGTCAACAAGCCGTGCGGCGCGCTCTCCGCCAGGAAGCCGGAGCTGCAGGAGAGCTCCCTCACGCAGTGCGAGTGTAACCCCGACGTGGAGGACCCCTGCGGACCCTATTCACAGTGCCTTAATAGGTCAGACCTTGTACACACTGAAATAATCTAAATCTATACTAAAAAGTAAACACACACTACTTTGTCAGCAATCACACCATATCTTTGAATACTAATATAATAAAGCGTAAACACACACTACTTTGTGACGTAAGATGTCAGCAATCACACCCATATCTTTGAATGATTATTTAATAAAAAGCCCTACACATATTTCACGCTTTAGGCTATATATTTTCACGCTATTTAATTTAGGGGTAAATAAATTGGACAAAAACCCTAATATGGGAAAGGGACTATGAGCTATAAGCCAACAACAAGGAAGTAAGATTATCATGGTTTGTCATCATGTTATGTCATTTTGACATTTAAAATTGATAATTTGATAAATGTAAACAATAAAACGAAAATTTCATAATTTCATGCGGATGAAGCCGCACAGGAACAGCTAGTACAAAAATAACTCTATCATCCATCATCTCAGTCATCACTCCCTTGATCATGTCACCTTTCACGCAATATCCATCTCTTTCTACGTCTACTCGTGTACCTCCCGCTTTAACATCTTCGCCGCTATGAAGTGAAGTGGAAGCAATTCCACGTACAATCTAATGTGTGGTGCCGGAGGCCTAGTTCTAGTCCCTTTCCCTTCCCATCCTTTTTCTTATAAGAAATATATAGTATAAAGATAGGAGGGAAAGTGGATTTGACGGTAGAGGATTCACTTAGGAAGAGGAAATAACCTCTTTATGTGCGTCTCCTCCTCCGTCGTATAAGGGTAGGCAACGCATCTGCAATTGCGGATGTCTATGGGCAGCGGTCGCTTCGCCACTTTGGCGGATTCAGGTGGCCACTCGTCCGTTTGCCACATTATAATATATAAATATTGCATTGTTCCAGGATGTTATTAACAGACAACGGTGGTAATTTCGCCTTTTTGGCGAATTCAAGTAGCCATTCGTTTGCCATATTATAGTATAAAAATATTGTATTGTTCCAGGATGTTATTAACAGAATGCGGTCCGTCGTGTCGTGCGGGAGAGCGCTGCAACAACCGCGCCTTTGAGAAACGTTTGTACCCCAAATTAGTGCCTTACAGGACACCCCAGAGGGGGTGGGGCTTGAAGACATTAGAGGATATTAAAGCAGGTAAATATTATACATTGAACATATAAAAACAGTATAACTAACAAATTTTATAACAACTAACCTATGATCAATACCTCAGAGCTAATTTTAGTTCCTTTGCCTACTCACCCTTTTCTTATAAATATAGGATGGTAAGGGAAAGTAGATTTGATGAAGGTGAAGACACTTGGAAGGGAAAATATAGTCTTTCTGTGCATCCCACCTGTAGATTTAAGGTTGGCATCTACTTTTTTAGATGTCTAAAAGTCGAATTAGCTGTTTTTTCGCTATTCCGGCGAATTCAGATACCCATTTGCTTTGCAATCATGATATAAAAATAGACAAGGTAAAGGATAGGAAACATCTACAATATATCTATGGCATATCTATGGGTTGCTTCGCTATTTTGGCGAATTCAAATATCTGCTTGCTTGTTTCACACCTTATCATATAAAAACTAATCAAACAAAAATCAATAGATTTGTTTTATTTACTTATGAAAATCTTGTAACATTGTCATTTGGGAGTAAGTATTAACTCCACCGGGTCAAATAATATTGTCGCACCATAATATACTGTTCATGCATGCATGCGACTTCATACGCATAAAGTTATAAAAAAAATCATTTTATTGTTCACATTTGTCAAATTATCAATAGCAAATGTCAAAATTACTTGACATTACAAACCTTAGCAATCTTGTTTCCTTGATGTTGGTAGCAACTTATGGTCTCTTTCCCACATTAGGGTTACTATCCAAAATATTTACCCCTAAGTTTAACGGCGTGAAAATATATTGCCTAAAGCGTGACGCAAGTGTAGGGCTTTTTATTAAAAAAAGAATTATTCAAAATTATGCTGTAATTGCTGACATCTTAGGCAACAAAGAAGTGTGTGTTTACGCTTTATTATAATAGTATAAATAAATATATAATTTTGCAGGTCAATTCGTAATAGAATACGTAGGAGAATTGATAGACGAAGAAGAGTTTAAGAGAAGAATGCAGAGAAAATATGAGATACGAGACGAGAATTATTATTTCCTAACTCTGGATAAAGAGAGAATGATAGATGCTGGACCTAAAGGGAATTTGGCGAGGTTTGTATAAAAATGGAAAAAACATAAATAATTTTATCTTACTAATATAATTGCTAAGATACTTTACTTACTAACTTGCTTACTTGCTTTACTTACTAGCTTACTTGCTTACTAATATAATAGTGTTTTGATGGATGGATGTTTGTTAGAGTTTGTAGCCTAAACGACTGAACGGATCTCGGTGTAATTTGGCATAGACGTAGAGGATACTCTGGAAGAACACATAGACTACATTTGTGTTTTTTTTAATTCCACGCGGACGGAGTCGCGCGCGAAAGCCAGTTACAAATATTTTTTTCTATATATTGCAGGTTCATGAACCACTGTTGCGAGCCGAACTGCGAGAACGTCAGAGTGGGGCTGTTCGCCATCGCAGACATACCCGCAGTATGTATATAGTTACTTGTTGCGTGCGACTTCGCCCGCGTCGAATTATTCAAAAATATAGCCTATGTTAATGGTAATGTGGCTTTCAAATGGTGATTTTTGAAAAATGGTCAAGTTTTTTTTTGAGCCTTTTCATTACAAACAAACAACCAAAGCTTTTCTCTTCATAATAATAATATGTTAATCTATACTAATATAATAAAGCGTAAACACACATTTTTGAATAATTCTTTTTTTAATAAAAAGCCCTACATTTACGACACGTTTAAGGCTATATATATCCACGCTATTAAACTTAGGAGCTACATAAATTGAAAAAATAAACATGTGGGAAAGGGACCATAAACTACGAGCTGCCAACATCAAGGCAGCAAGGTCGCCATGGTAACGGTAATTGTTAGCTAAAAGAAGCCTTGTTATTTGTGTATTTGAATGTTAATATTAGTTTTAAAATAAAGATTTTATAATATAAGGAAAGCCGCCCAGGAACAGCTGGTACAAAATACAGTAGAACCTCGATAACTTAAAAACCTCTATAACTTAAAAAAATAACATGTTCCCTTCCCGTCAGAGCCCAAAACCTCTATAACATAGACTCTTAATAACTTAAAACCTCTAACTTAAAAATATTTTGTGTTTCCCTTGGACTTTAACTTGTCGAGGTTATATGTGTCTAGTGATGATTCAAAGTTTATTACGTTTTTTTTTATATGTAGTCAAAATAATTCTTTTTAATTTACAGAACAGTGAAGTGACGTTCAATTATAACTTACAATGCGCGGGAATTGAGAAGAAACAATGTCTCTGTGGTGCTAAGAGATGTTCAGGATATATCGGAGCTAAACCTAAACAGGTAGAGTATTTAAACATGTATGAAAACAACTCGCAAATTAAAAAAAGATAATAAAAAATGTAACCTATGTTACTTACTAAAAACGTAGCTTTTTAATGGTGAAATAATTTTTTAAATTGACCCAGTAGTTTTTGAGTTACCAATACATTTAAAAATACAAATCTTTCCTCTATAATATTAGTATGGATGTAAAATCTCTCATACTTAATATTTGTACAAATATATGAAGATATTGAACTAAGGAATCTGTCGTTTTAACAATATATTACTATTGTTAGGAATAAAATTAGTACCGTGCTATAGAATTGGCGCAACTCTAGATTATCGGCATAAACGGCACGTCCCTAGCTGACAGCTGTCAATGTCACTACAAGTATGGATAGATTTGGCGCGCATCCTAAGTCTTGATGAGAAGTATTGCTCTGAGTTAAAAGCGACAGTATCAAATATTTTTGAATAATTCTTTTTTTAATAAAAAGCCCTACACTTGCGTCACGCTTTAGGCTATATATTTTAACGCCATTAAACTTAGGGGGTAAATATTTTAGATAAAACCCCTAATGTGGGAAAGAGACCATAAGTTGCTGCCAACATCAAGGAACCAATGTTGTCATCATGTCATGTCATTTTGACATTTGCTATTGATAATTTGACAAATGTATAAAATAAAATAAAATTTTCATAATTTCATGCGGATGAAGTCGCACGGGAACAGCTAGTTTAGTATATTTTTAAACTAGGTTTTGTCCGTTATTGAATAAAAAATTTAGTAATAATTATTTCTTATGTCACTAAGTGATAATACACCCTTCTAATGTTTTTAAAATTAAAATTTGTTAATGGTTGGGGTAGTATGTAAAAATGCTTGGATAATAAAATAAATATAATAAGGGTGAAAAATAAAATATCACCAGCAAAGAAACTTTATTATATGTGGTGTTTCCAAGTTAAAAAAATATCTAAATATATTAATATTATAAATAAACCTTTTTTATTTTTTTATGTATTGAAATAACTCAAAAACTACTGGGTCGATTTCAAAATTTTCACCATTAATTAATAAATTTATTACCGTGAGAAATCGTAAATAACTGCTATATTAAAAAAATATCCCATCATTTTCAGAGCGAGCAGCCTAAAAAGAAAAAAGACGGAACGAAACGGACATATAAAAAGAGGAAAGCAATAGAATATTTACCAACAGTTCGACCGAAGCCTGTCAAAAGACAGACATCTCGCTCTAACCCAAAGGAACTGACAGAGATAGAGAAAGATTTACTTATAATAAAGCTGGCTACAAACGGAATGTCAAGTGACTCCGATTGCAGTAGAATGAGTGTGGATAGTGCGAAAGAGATGAAAGCTATGAAACGAAAGAGAGATAAGATATCTAGTGAAGAACTTTATAATGGAATTACTACGAATAAGAGATTTAAAGAAGATGATTGAATTAAGTATGGGTTAAAATTATCGGATTCCAAAGAAAATGTGAAATTATGGTAAATTTGAACCATCAGTTAGAATTTGTGGTCAAAATATGGGTTACATCGAAATATTTTACCATATTCAAGTGTGAAACGATTTTTGGTACAAAAGTGAATACGGCATCGCAACGGCCGTATACTGAAACGAATTAACTACAAATTCTATTAACATTTTCACGTCTGTCAGATTGTAAAGCATTACAAAGCGAAGTGTTAAAAATCGCTATCAAAATTCGACCGTTACTAGAATTAAATTGACTAGTTTTGTTTAAATTACTATAGCTTGAAATTATCTGATTCCTGTGGGGAAGAGTCAAATAAAATTTTGACAGTTTACATATGCTGCTGTCAATTTTGAATTGTCAACTTTTTTGTAGATTGTCATGTTTGCTACTAACTTTTGCTCGCAACATTGTCCGCTCAAAATTATAAATCGAATATTAAATATTCTATTCCCTCAGTAATATTATCTTTTTATTTGTGAAAGATTTTTTAAAATCGGTCCAGTATTTTTTGAGTTAATTTTTTTTATTGAATATCATAATTAAATCATAAAGTCAGTTTAATTTAATTATTCAAGTGAATTGTAAACCATTCGTTTTTATGTTTAAAAGGGAATTCCGAAAGAATTAAGGAAAATCTTGCATTCTGGTAACCCTAAAACTTAGCTGTCAATGTCAAAAAACTGAATCAAGATCATAATAGTGATGTGACTTGTTAATAAATATCGATATTTTATAAGAGAAGGGGCAAAAAAATACGGGAATATGAAAAAACCCATAGGATTTAAAATGCAACATTTACCATTTTATTGGACTATATAAGAAATAAGGTCGAGTGCATTATTGTTTGTAATTTAATATTTTTAAGATGTTTAGTTTTTAGTTTTATGTTATATAAATGTAAATTGAAATGAATTTCTTTCGCAATTAAAACCAATGTGTATCCGTTTTATGAAGTTTTATTTCTTTCTTTTTTTATTTTAAGCAAACTGTAGATTAGAAGTTCCTTATTTCTAAAGTAGATGGCGTTGTTTAAATATTTTTATCGCAAGTACTGGTAATACTAAATTTAGTATTAGTAGCAGAAATATCTAAAAGATAGGTAACATAATAATCCTAAAATTAAGAAAATTAAATTAATTGACCACTTATTTTAAAATAAAACTAATTTTAATCAATTTTCCTTTCCACCCTTTACTTATAAGCTAAAGGATGTGGAGATGCGCAGGAAGAGTAGGTCACGTACCTGCAGTTGATGTCTAAGGGGAGTGGTTTACCACTTTTAAACAGAAAAAAAATAAGTTCAAGTTTTAACATTCTCGAAAAATATACAAAACCGAATTTTCTAACCTATCAGCAATTAAAGGATTTTTCCAACCATCTAACTTGAAGCAAGATTCCAATCACAAAGACATTATAATTACTGGTTACGTTACTTTACTAGAATAAACTAATCTATATATTATAAAATATCGTCATTCAAATATAAGTTGAAGTAGTAAGTAGTACATTTTGAGTTGTAAGTTAAGACAATTCCAATACAGATTGTGCGGTGGTAACTTGCGGTGACCGACCACGTAACGTAACTCTCTGTCCCAGATTTACAACTAAAATAGTATAATGTTGACAATGAGCGACTTATCTATACAATATCTGATCGAATTCTGAGTTCATTTATCATAATAGTAAACATTTATTTCAGCCATATGCGTTTAGAAAAAACAAAAATGTTATATGACATATAGACGCGTTCACTTTAAGAATAGATAGTTTCTTTATATTTGCTATAAATGACAGGTATCTTGGCTTTATGATCTTTTTTTAATCCTACCAATGTAATAACTAAATATAATAATAATAATAAAACCTCTTTATTGTCATCATATAGAAACATTTACATACAGTGAAAATATTTAACACAAAAAAAAAATATGATAACAAAGGGCTGCAGGCTCATCGTGTACCACATGGGCAATGCCACGAGAGGCTGATTTTCAGCCTGTCCCTGTGGGCCGTGTTGCACCTCTTCAGAGGTGCCCGACACTTAATATGCAACTATAATGTATTGTAGAAAAAAGAACAAACCTATTACAAATGACAACTTGCGACTATTTAATATAATTAATAGAAAGAGATAATAATATTAATAAACAAAACTAAAGCAATGGCATAGTTGATTTAACATTAGAAAAGTGCACATAAAAAAAACAAAAAGAACAAGCATATGAAAAATTATACGAGTATATCTTATCAATACAATAAATAGCTTCGTCCGTGAAACAAAAAGAAAACAAAAGCCAATCCTATGTGTTTTTCCAGATTATCTACATCTATGCTAAATTTCATCGAGTTAAGATGGATGGATGAATGTTTGTTAGAAATTGTAACCTAACCGCTTAACGAATTTCACTAAAATTTAGCACACATTAGTACTAAAAACCATATGATTATTTTCTTTTTAATTCCGCACAGACGGAGGTTAGGACGACGGCTATTTTACCTTCGATTTGAGTGTCTTTGGTATGCAAGAATTTAATCTGTAAAAGGAAATAATTTTTCCCCAAAATGGCGGATCTTGTCTAAAGAATGAGGTCGCGTTATAAGCAAACTTACCAATGTTGACACAGTTGTTTGAAACTTGCATGTGTGTAATTGATTATTTGTATTTTAGTGAATAATCGTTTTGTACTTGAATGTTCTAATTAATATTTATTAATAAATATTATACGTAGATTATAAAATAAATCGTCGAACTATTCTTTGTTGTTTTATGTTTTTTAACCTATATTATCTAGTAACATATTGCCAACTGCTGGAGAAATAACTTTAAAAATATTTTTAGTTTCGTAATCTATTCTGTGACAAGTTTTAGTATAGCCTATATATCAATTTTTAAAATATTATCAGCTGTGAAACTTCTATTAGTTTTAAACTTTTGTCAAATACATTTCTTGGATTCAAATAAACGTGTTTTCTCCATATTTACATAACCTAGATTTGGTGAGCATAACAATGCATCCAATTGTAAAGATTTTGTAATAAATTAAGCAAAATCAATGAAAACTACAAAAGTAGTGTAGATAGACACAGAGTTACACTTACGCAGGAATTAGAACAAATACAGAAAACACTTGAACACACACGAAACCACACGAGCACAGGGCTGTACTCGCAACTTTGTACAGAAGAAAATATTTTATTTTTTTATTATATTTCATCATATCTACGTTTTAATCTTAGTAATATTATACGAAAGTTTAAATGGATGGATGTTTGGAATTTGTAGCTTGAACTTTTGACTGTTTTCGATGAAAGGCATAGATGTAGAAGATGGCCGCAAGAACACATGGGCTTCATTTGATGTCGGAATTAGTTACGGTTCCCGTGGGATACATTAATTCATTTGTTAACACCTACTGCTAACAAAGTCGCGGGTCGCAACTAGTTGATTATAAAGATTGATTATAAACTGTATTAACATGTAGAAGAAATAAATCATTTTTAAATACAAAAAATAAACATGGTTTCCATTTAAAAATTTTACCTCACAAATTCCTTACCTCGTTACTTCAAACTGTGTATTAAAAATGTATGTGTTAAAATCCAGCCCTGTACTCGAAGGCTGTATTCCAAAGACCTACATGGTTCGCCACAGGCTCTGTCTAACTCAGTCTACCTCTGAACACCTTCTGTATCAGTTATATCGACATACGTGGGCTTCTATTGTCAAAATTCTTGTAAAAATATATTGTCATTTCACTCGATTTCTTCAAAAAAAACTGAGAGAGCAATATTTTAAACGTAATGAACCCACGAGTACGTTTACGTGAAACAGTGTTACAAATTCATAGGTAAGATTAAATTATTAAATTCTTTACTAGCTTCTACCTGCGACTTCTTTTATAGAATACTAGCTTTCGCCCGCGACTCCGTCCGGCGTGAATTTAAAAAATAATATAAAACATAGCCTATGTTACTTACTGACAACGTACCTTTTTAACAGTGAAAGAATTTTTGAAATCGGTCCAGTAGTTTTTGAGTTATTTCATTACAATCAAACAAACAAAGTTTTCCTCTTTATATTAGTATAGAAATAGGAACTAAGCCTTTGTCTATTCCAGGCATATCTATTATTGTACCTTTCATTAGTTTGCATGAGTTTAGCAGTTTTGTAGTTCCCTACTAACAAAATCATGTCGGAATAGCGGTAGAGCCCGCTTCAACATCTTCGCACTGTAAGGCTCTCCCG